TCTCTCTCTCTCTCTCTCTCTCTCTCTCTCTCTCTCTCTCTCTCTCTTCGCAGTTCGTTATAAATAATTACAATAATCACCAGTCGATATCGGCTAGTATTCGTGGTATATAGCGCGGGAATAATAATACAATAATAATATCAAACAATGTAATAATAATAATTTTAATAATAATAAATCAACCATCTCTCGTCGATCGATCACAACTCGCAAATTTTGCACATTCACTCACAACACGTATCGCCATCAAGTGTTTTTTTAATACTGTCTCTCGCTCGTAATAAATAATTCTTTCTCCCCTCCGCAGGCACATTGCCAGTAAAAGTAAAAAATTCCTGTCCCCTTTATATTTTCAGCGCGCATTGTACGGCGGAACACTTCGCCGTCGTGTCGAATTGTGGGGAAACTAATTTATGGATACGCGTATGAAACTCTCGCAACTACAGCCCGCGGCTTGTTGGGAACGTGAAAACAAGCAAACGATCAAGCAAGGACGCTCAGACTAAGGAACCAATTAGGTTTATTAATGCACAAGCCCCGTGTAAGTCATTAGCGAAAAAATCGATTTCAAACAACTTTGGAACAAGGGAACACAATTTGGACCTAACACACGGGAACTATCCCGAGTAATGAGCCTCCATCGCTTTGTTCTCTCTCTCTCTTTCTCTCTCTCTCTCTCTCTCTCTCTCTCTGTCTCTCTCTCTCTTTCTCTCTGCACGCAGACAGCGACGCGACCGGCGTCGTCGTCGTCGGCGGCGCCGATTCTTCGTCGTGAAGGTGCGAGCGCAGCGCGATCGTGAGTGATCACTTCTTACTATGCCGTGGGCGACGGTCTCTCGTTTTCCCGAGGGTCGTGCCTGCGAGGGCGAGATTCGTCGTGAGGGGGAAAAGGGGCGAAGCTCTCCTTCTCACCGTGCGCGCCCCCGCGCTGCGAACGTCTTATTATTTTCATGCACTATCATAGTTAATACTTCGCTATATGAGACATTACGTGTGCACCGGCATGTACGTACACCCTGTGCTATGTTGCAGTTCTATGTACAGATATCTTCCCGACGTGTTGCGCGGCGAGTGTCGTGGCGCACTCGCGGGATCGCCGAGAAACGATTCTCTCTCTTCGTATCTATTTCTCGCACCGTCCGCTATCGACAGTTAACCCCTCGGACAGAGGTTCCTCATCTCCTTCTACTTGCTCCCGTTCCTCGCAAACCGCACTCCCACTCTCGGCGATCCCGTCCGCCCCGAGAGTCGCCCCGGTGGTCGAGGAAAAACTCGCATTGTATATCGGTGTTTGATTATACTACGCAACATTCTCGGGCCCCAAAGCGCGAAAGCGCGGCCTGGGGCCGCCGATTACAAAATTTTATTGTATGTCACGCCGAAATCAACAAGAAAACTGATCTCTTCTCTTTTACGACCTGTAAATACCTTTCTCCCTCAAGGCTCGAGGATACTTGTCGTGTCGCGCCCAAGTATGTATGCGTGTTTGTATACGTGTGCTTTTACAAGTGTGTGTAAGTGTAAGTCTTCTCTTCGTGTGGTATGTGTGTATTATGAGTTACGCGCGTGTCCTTTATCAGTTTTTACATTGTTGGATTCCTGCATGTGTATTTGTTTGTTTGTATGTGTGCATATATGTGTGTATGTACGCGTACATGTTGTTTGTGTTTATCTCTCTCTTTTTCCTTCTTCTTTATATTCGTCTCTATGCTACTCGCGTGCTCCTACTTTTCTCCTATTTCTCTTTTTTCTTTTTCTCTCTTTTTTATATATTCAATTCTCACTGGCGCGCTTTCCGCCAAGCGCGTGCGCGCGCGCGTCAACCCCCAAAATTCGCGCTCCCTATATTCAATATGTAAAAATATACAGGTTAAGTTATAGTCGTAAGTACAGTTAAAAAATTCTACACTTTTAGCCTCGAGTACTCAGGATGCAGTCGGATCGTCCTCTCTCTCTCAGAGTGATTCTACGGCGGTCGAAAGCAAATCCAAATCCGAGAACGCAAGTGAACGTACCGTCGATCGGACGTGCCGCGTGCTGAGAGGGCCAGCGGACAATATATATATATATATATATGTATATAAACGCGACCACATCGTTTATTCCTCTTTCCCTTTCTCTTTCGTTAAGCACGGCTGACGAAGAGTAAAAAAAAAAAAGAAAAGAGCGGAACGTGCGATAACGGGATCGCGTCGTAACAGGTATCACTTTGTTGCTGTCTGGACCGTTCGTCCTCACGAAAGACGCAGCTCCCTTTCCCTCATCACCGACCGCCGCGCGATATATCTAGCCGTTCCTTTTGCACTTTCGTAAGGACACCCTAAACTATATGTGTATATGTATATACTTTATATATATATTTATATATATATATTTGGTAATTTTAGTTTTTAAAGATTCGCTCTCGGGCGTGTCCGTAAAGTCCGGTACAATCGACGCTCCTCCGAACGGACTCCAAGACACACGACATGTCGTGACTAGATATTAGAAATTCCGCGCCCCCCCCCCTCCCCAATCCTGCGACTAGATCCGCAGACTTTTAAGTCGTAATTGCACTGTTTCCGAAATTCTTGCGCGAGCGAGCGTTTTTTCTTTTTTTTTTTTTTTAAGTCAGTCTCGCCGGTGCGCGCCGCGCCACGCACCGTCGTGTAGTAGTCTCGTACGATCACTTAGATTTTCTCCTAAAATGAACGACAGTTGCTCGGCCGATCGTGTTGCCGATCATGCCGATCGTTATCGAGTGTGGCGGCGCCGATATATCTGTCAACGACGATAAGAACGACGCGCGTGCACGTGAAAGAGATCTCGCCCGCGTTTGCGCGCCGCGCTCGCGTCGACTGCTCACTTTCTCGGACGATTCATCCATCGACAACTAAATGCTGCAGCTTAAAAGTGGCTCTAAAAGAGAGAGAGAGTAAATCGTAAGAAAAGCGGGTAATGCAAGCGCGTTTCAAGAGCGCGTCTCGCGAGCTCGAAAAGTCTCCGAAGGACTCGCACCACAGCCTAGTGTAAAATTCGAATCGATTTGTGCACGTCTGAGAAACGCACCGCGCATGAGACTCCGTTGGCGCGCGATACAAAAGATGATTCTAAAGTGATCCCACGATCACGTGAACAGTGTTTCTTTAGGCCCTTTTTTTGACATACAATATTCAATTTATACTTGCGTGAAGGGGCTCCTTTTTCTTTCTTTCTTTCTTTCTTTCTTTTTTTCTGAACACTCTTTGACAAAAGAACGCGCATAGAACGAATGGATGAACCGTCTGCTGGAGTTGCATTAGCGCGATATTCAGGAAACATTATCTCTCTCTCTCTCTCTCTCTCTCTCTCTCTCTCTCTTTCTCTCTCTCGCCTGTGGACGGTACAATCTGGGCCTGAAACGATTCCGTTCTTCACAGCGACGGGCAACTCGCCGCGGGCAACTGTCGTTGGTTTCACTTATTACGGAATCATTTAACAAGTAGCGTGTATTCTCTCGCAACACAGTATATATATACATATGTATATATAACATCCTCAAGTAAACATAGCAAAGCGCATCACACGCATGAAATGCGAGAAAGTATAAGCCGACAATAAATACGACCGGTATATAAATGCGCGATGAAGCGAGAATATAAATAATCGCGGTAAACAATCACTGTTACATTACGCGTACGGTTTCACTAAACGTTCGACTAGATAGATCTTTGGGATTCGATAGAATACGCGATCGCGGCCGTTATCACGGTAAACCTTTCGCGGACCGCGTGAATGTGTCTTATTTTTTCTTTTTCTTCTTTATTTTTTTTATTAAAATCGTAGGATCACAGCATTGCGACATGCGTCAACGTCGATCGTGAGAATTTTTTTAACGAGTGGAGAGTGCGCGTATCATATGCGGGCGTTCGGGTCACCGGGACGCTCCGCCGACGCCGACGCCGCCCGAGTCACGATGAGAAAACAAGAGCGAGACTGTAAAAGGAGAAGAAACGCGTCTCCCTCTTCCCGTTTTCGTATTTTTCGTAGGACGCGCGAATACCGCGTAAGGGAAAATCCTGCCTCGCGTGTCTCTCGTTGCTGTCGGATTCGCGTCAAAGTGCTCTGAAACTCGCGTCCTCCACCGATTTTCTAGGTCGCACTCGTAGTCGAGATTCAAGAGGAGCTTGAGAGTGTACGATTTGCGAAACCACCTGGTTTCCCCTCTTGAGTCGATGTCAAAATTGTTCCATAAAGTTCGCCAACTGCTACTTTTACGAAGTGTCACTGTGAGATTTTATCCGCGATGATCGAAGTCAATGAGGTCGTCTAAACGCAAGGTGTGTTTCGCGAGAAAAGATTCGAGGCGAGAATTTCAGATATCCTGGTAGAAATGCATTGCAGTTTGCGTAGATATGTTCGCCCAGTTGTTGTCTTTGTAAAAATACTGCATAGGAACGGATAAGAATTCGATAGAGTTTTGTTCAGCGGTTGAGGCAGTTTACTGCACAATATATGGGCCGATTCTTTGCAAGACATAGTATCAGTAATATTAATTCAAGCTGATAATGTACGCGTTCACCATGAATAAATTCAAGACATTTATTTGTGTTATTAGAAAAAAGCTTATAATATATAAAATTGCATAAGAGAGAAATGAGTAAGCGTGTAGGACAACATAAAGAAAAGGAAAGTGAAGAAATGAGACGTTTGGCAATATTAAACTTCGTGGTAGAGATGTGAGCAAGAATCAAGTTAGAATTGAAAATAAGCAAAAGACAATTGAGTAAATATTAATAATAGAGAATTTTATTGCGATAAGAGGACACATCAGATTATTCTGATGATAATGACACAAGTGAAAACTCATAATAACTCAGACTCAGATAATCTGGTGAAGTAGCACAATTACTGAATGAATAAAAGGACATATGTCATTTGATAATTATGAAAGATGTCACATAAAAGGCGAAAATAACGAAAAAGTATATATCGCGTAGCGATTTCCTGAATGATTTTCTGCACTATGATTCTCATTAGCGTGAAAATTTATCAATTAGGAAGGAAAAATGAAATATTGCTTGGACCAACCCGCCAACCCGCTCATTTCATAAGCACCAGACTTGATCCTTAATTAATTGAATAGTTTTTGTTTATTTTCTATCTTTGCTCAAATTTTGCGCATCTTTTGCGCGCAGTAACTGCGAAAAAACAACTAAACTGGGATTCCATCAGTTACTAGACATAAGTAATCATCCAGTAACTGCTTGAAAGCTGCATGAAATTTCTACTAGGGTGTTTTGTGTTCAAGTTATGTTAAATCCCGCGACTGCGACTGCGACCTTAAGGCTGAGCCATACCGATTCACCGGATCAATTAACTTGGAATTACTTTTACTAGCCCTTCCCAGATTATAGTACCACTTTTAACAAAGTCATACCATAGCATTATTCCTGTAAGAAAAAGAATTCGATTAGCGCTAAAACTGGCACAGATGCCATGCTTCTCCCGCGTTTTGTATCGACGACCGAGAATATCCGCTGAGAATGGGGAGAACACGATGAATCTCGCGATTGGGAAGCTTCGGCCAGAGTGTCATCTCGAGAGCGCTACCGCTCTGCTTTATTTCCTCGGCCGTTCGCGCGTTATCACGCCAGCATCTCGTGCGAAAGAGCCACTTGTTAGCCAACTGTTGCACTTGGAGCAGGCGCCAAAGTGTAATGCATTATAATTTCTACGACCTGACCCCGGACTCAGTCTTGCCCCTCGAGTGAGTGTACGCGAAAAGGAACAGAACACAGCGACCTAAATTCTAATTACGATCGCAAGCTGGACTCGTGTCCCGGATATGCAATGAATCGTGTAATTAACGCAGTGATAGAAAGCCGTCGAAGGCAAAAAATGTCACTTTGTACCTCCCAGCACAAGAGACTGCGATTGCAGAAGGTCGATTATCGTATGGCATCTTATCGGGGAATTCGTCCGTCTACATTCTGTTACATGAAGACACGAAGAAGAGCTTCGTGTGAGTGTCGAGGGAGAAACTATGAGAGCACTCGAATGTATGCTACATTCGTCATGCTCTCGAAAGAAAAATGCCGACCAACGCGACAACCTAACTTCTGTTTTCGCATTGAGTGCGAAATGCGCTCGGAGCAGCAATGAATTTGGAAGAGAATCGATGTTGGCACAATATATTGGTGCACAATATTGTTCTCACTCTCGCGCTAGCTGAAACGAGACTTGACGGACGAAGAAGAGTGGAGATAAGTCGCCCGGGCAATCTCGCGAGCCATCGGCGACGAGGATGCGGATGCGAGTAGGAATTCCATAAACATTGAACTGTCTCGCGTGGCTACCTGAGCGTCATTAGCGTGTAACACCGGTCTGAACGTCATCCCTATCGCCATTCGCGATTGACTGAAGCGCGTTAAGCTGGGTGCAAATATAAGTGTGTTCTTTTCAAACGCATAAGCGTGAATAATTTGGCCGAAGCTCTTCTTACATGTTTCTTGATTGTTTCAAATCACGTTACTTAACACGTTTAAAACGAAGATTAAGTAGATTGTAATTTCATAATTTCAGTGCTTAACTGCACTGTGCTGCAAATTTGCAGCATTGACTTCTTTAAAAAGTGTCTTCTTTGGAATATAATCAGATATGGATCAATTTTTCGCTCTTTTTCTACTTTTGTGCCGGTTTTTATACCATTATCGTCAAATTTCTGAATTTCTTTTCTTATGTAAAGAAAGTAAAAAATTTAAATTGATCAATTCGCGCGGAGCAGAGTTATAAATCGGCAAAAATCCAGGTATACCTGTGTGCCTTTGGTGTCTTCCGCCAGATCTGTGCGTTAAATGTAATAAATGATGCGACTTAAAACAGTAAGAAATGTATAAAGAGAGATTCAGTCCAAATAACACATCTGAATTCGCAGTGTATACACCGAGCGGACAAACAACGAATGTTTGAAACTTCCGTTATACAATGCAAGAAATGCGCATGCCTCAACAAAGCCGGACAGAACGTCCTATTTCTTTCTGGTGACGCGATTTATCGACAAAAGTTTATGCGTAAGGTGAACGCTGAAATGTATCTTACATGTTCGTTGCTCGTTCGTTGGTCACTCGCTCAGCGTGCATCCAGCTTTAGATGTTCGCTCTCTTCCCGAGAAATCTCGACTCTAAACTCCCTTGTCCCCGCAACCTTACTGCCCCAGTTACCGACTCCGCGTGTTGTTCGTCGACGTATGCGTATTGGTAGAGATGTCTGCCTTGCGACATCATTCGAGGCATCATCGGGCACTGCAGATCCACGTGCGTCATTTTTAAACGCGCAAGCGTGTAATTCAGCTGTAACTCTTCTCCGCGTCTCTTACGGTTTTAGATCACGTTTTAGATCAATACGTTTAAGGCGTGTCAAAATTATATTTCAAGACGCTCAGACGCGTTAAATGACGTGACTTAGAAGAAACGTGTAAGAAGGAACTCAGCTGAGATAACACATTTAAATCTGCGGCGCGACCTCTGCCTTTCGAGGAACTCGCGAAAAGATCAAGCAGCGCGGCACGAAACCCCCATCACGCGGCGATTAATCGGAGTAACTACTTCCCAAACGATCCCGGGCACGATTCCGTGGTCGTCTCTATCGGACTCTCGCGTGTTGGCGCGAGCAACATCATCGCGGACGCGGACGCGGTTTTGCGTAGAGAGAGACTTTAGGATTGGGACGCGTGACGAATGTGTCTGGATCATAGACTTATGTCATATCGATCGACTGGAATCTTCAGGGCAGCCGAGCCCCCCCAAAGCGCGGCTTTCGCGGGCTCGAGGCTTCACTCGCGCGTCTCCCGATCTTGGTCGGTTCACCATTTACCCTTGAGATCCGTCGTAACTCGAGTGCCATGTCGTGCATCTAGCTTGCCCGCGTGTGGCTGTCGGCAGGAGCTAAGTCCTCCCGCGTGCTCGCGATTTAAATTTTATTTTAGAGAAATGACTTTCAATCATTATATTATTTATATATATATATATATATGTGTATATATATGTATGCTATATATATATGCATATATATATATAGTATGCATATATAATATACGTAAATTATCTTGAACTTACGCACTACGAGATTAGAGTTAAAAACTTGTCTTTTGGCGATTAATTATTTAAAATATGTTCTGTAAGTAACCCTTTTTATGTTGTGTCTCTCGGTCATCGTCATTACTATTCGTTTCGCGCTCCCGTTCATTCCGAAACACGCACTCGTCGCATACACGCACGCATCCACTTGCTCTCTTTCTTCATGTTTTTTTTTCTCTCTTTTGCGTATGTCGTGCAGACCTCTCGCGTTTGTTTCCTGCCGAACTATCTCGGGCTAGCGCATACTCTAGTCAAAAGTGCTATTTGTTTTCTACGTAGTTATATATACGCTCGATATATGTATATGTGTGTGTATATATATATATATATATAGAGAGAGAGAATGTGTGTGTATGTGTGTACATGTATATATATACGTACATATATACACATATACGTACATGTATACACGGATATACACCGCTGTACGTGTATATATGTATATGCGCGAGTGAGTGGCGCTTTTAACGCTGCGACTGTGTACTGCATGTGTGAATTCTGTCCCGGTGGCAGGTGATTATAGTGCTCGGTTCATTCTTAGTAAGTACGCTTCAGAGCGATAATCATAATAATCGTTATGTATATAGTTCCATTCCCTTATTAAAGTGGCTCGCTATATAAAACTATGCTACGCGCAAATCTTCTCAAACCGCTATTCAGCGTTTCAGTAAGAGCTACGTACCACAAGCCCTACTTCTGCGTTCTTAGCGTTACGCGTTCCTCGCTCTCCAGCACGCGCGGTTTCTTCCTCTCGCGATACGATGACGTTCTTTACGTTACGTGCCCTTCGACGCAGGCTCTACGACGCGTGCTTCTTTCATTATCGATTCGTGACGCGGCCGGAGCGGCGTGGAATTCGGAACGATGACGTATGTGTGTGTGTGTGTGTGTGTGTGTTAACTTGATTGAAAGTCCAGGTATACAGTGATATGAATTTCTGCGTGGGACGAACACACGCTACAATCAGTCCACGCTTGCCCAATGATTGCGTTTCACATCGGGACTTGTTTGGTTCCCCGTTAGAAATCAGATAGTTATGTTATCACCTTTCTTCGTATCGCGCTCGATCTCGAGTCTACGATGAATTTCATTCAATCTTTGTCATTTCGCGTCGTGTTCGCGTTAAAGGAAAGCTCCGAAGCCGGTTCCACGAATCGACCTTTTCCACCGTGTTGCATTTCGTGCCGACATTCGTGTGAACTTTAGCGCGTCGTTAGTTAGTCTGTCGCGTTCGCAAGGTATTGATACGGAATATACGCATATTTCGCGGTCGCGGTGCTTGCAAGCTTACGAATACCCAAATCAGGTTTCGCGAGACCAATGGAAAAAAACTTGGCAAAATCTGAACGTTTTGTTGAGAGAAACCGAAAGTCGGAAAAGCGATTTTTCAGTCGTGAAGCCTGTGTCTTAATGCATTGTTCTTCCTAACTCTCAGTCTACAATGTTGATTCTGTGAGACCCGAGCGATCGTCATAGATGGGATTCCACTAACTTTCGTAGCAAATCCGGGAAAATGTCCAAACAGCGCAAATCTGTTTGCAGATTTTGATTTTGTTACGCTATCATCTTATAGCTGAGACTTTTCTATATTTCTGGAAAAAAATGTCCAAAAATACTGATTTTCAACAAAATTATATGGTAGTTCAAAGTTGCCCGAGCCTGACAGACTCAAATTATACCGTGTGTCCTAAAAAATAGGACTGCACACAGAGGGTTAAGCAGAATACAAGCACGGATAGAGAATTTTATATTGGACGTTACAGTCTGCCACAGAAACAAATGTAATCGAAGAATATACTGCTTTCTCACACTTGCCTTACTCACACTAGCGATTACCGATTGGACGGCGATTACCGACTTCTTTTCAACTAATTAGAGCATAGTAGCCACTGATTGAGATTCCATCGCAAGTCCAAGTGTGCAACTTTGGCTGAATCTCTTTTGACATGTTTCTTATCGTTTGAAGTCGCGTTATTGAACGCGTGCAAACGTATTAAATTATAATTTGCACGTTCCCTAAACATGTTCAATGGCGTGATTTAGAGCCGCAAGAAACGTGTGAAAGGAGCTTCAGTAATTACATGCTTATGCGTTTGAAAGTAACACATTCGGATTTGCAGTGTGGCGATTGTCGTTTGAACAATGCTCTATTTTATAATAGAGTCACTTGACGCCCGCTAATGTGTGATTTGTCCTTTAAACGCTACTGCCGTCAACTGCCGTAAACTCGTTAGAGTGAACAGGACAAATGAAACAGCGGCTCTCCGTCGCGGCAAACAGCGCGTCTAGTGCGAGAAGTGTGTCTTAAGCTTGATCTACAATATGCTCTTTGCGTTCTTGTCTTCTGTCTTTTTCTGGATTAAAGTTTAAGGTTTGAAAGAGATAAAGAAAAAGAAACAGGAAGCAAATAACACATTGTAGATCAAGTTTGTGTCTTTAAAGAAACTCATACAAACGAATATCTGATGACACACGCTTCAAGGGTGCCAGGTCAGAGAATTCGCACAAGGAGCGAATATCTTCTACTGATCCTGCGAACGCGAGAGGTGTCTGTCTGGAGAAGAGCTCAAGATCACGCTATCCGTATCGCCCACCTTTTATCAACGATAGTAATGCGCATTCGTTAGATTCACGACATTCCCGAGACAGGACGCGGCCTGTCGTCGCGCAAAAGACACGCGCTTGTTCGCAACGAACGCAATCGCGTGCGCGTCTTGCTCTAGCTTGCCGTATGTACGAAAGAAAAGATCCCCTGGATGAAAAGTCTCGTGTTACAAAGAATGTCAGCACACTACATTAAGCTCGTTATACATGGAGAGAGTTTCTAGTATATGTATATATGTATACATATACATACATGTATATATACACATATATGTATATATATATTCTATAAGATATAGAGTTGCCCTCTCTGCCATTAAAGTCTAGTGCTCGCATCATAAGCGCGGCGTAAACAACCCCGTTGTTCTCCCGCACGCTCGTCATCTCGCGTGTCGTTGGTCCAAGACGGGCTCGTGTTCCGGAGGGGAGGGGGTAAAAGCGAGAATGAGGAAGGAAACCGTGCCTTCGAAGAGGGGGGATACACTTCGCTATATAATCCGGACTGCGTACTCGCGCCTAACTGATTTCTCGCGTGTCGCATGGCATAACTAGGAAACGCACTGTTCTTCGGGTCAGAAGGAACGATTGGTCCCGGGTAGTCGATCGAAGTATGGCCGGGTAGAGAAGCACGGGATGATACCGTGGAGACTCGGATCTCTCGCGAGAACGTGCGCGAGTTTATTACGAACGACGCGGCGGAATCTCGATGGAAAGGCTTGGCCGCGCGCGCTCGCGCCTTACGCGCGGAGATCGTCGACGACGACTTGTTGTTGGAAATTAGGAAAGAGTGAAAGTAGAGAGAGTTGAGACAAAAGTGCCAGTGCCCGGACACATATCTAACCCTGGGCATTCTTATTGTCTTGGTCCTTGAGTACAAACATTTAAATTTTCAACATCAAATGCGTATACAAGTTCTGAGTATGCACATACACTCTATATTGAAAGTTTAAATATTCGTATTTGAGAGAGAAGACTAAATAAATAAGAATTAAACTAAGATTAGATACGTATTCGGACATTGGTACTTTTATCTTGGAGTTAGAAGTAGAGAGACAGAGAGAGAAAGGGAGAGAGAGAGAAAGGAAGAGAGGGAAAGAAAGTTAGAGATAGAGATAGATAAAGACTAGAGCAGAGTGGAGAATATAGTAAAGATGGAGAGATAAAAAAATTTATAAATAACGATAGGAAGAGAAAAAGAGAAATAGGTAGGTGAGATCAGAAGAATATAGAGATAGAGAGAGAAAGACAGAAGGAAAAATGTGGAGAACGTAAGTCGCTCTCGTGCAATATCGCGTAAGCGCACCTGAAGGAATTGACATCGGTCGCCTGGACATTTTGTCTTGTGCGGCGTGTTAGAATTAGCGGTCGCGACGCTGTATGGTCGCGGTTCGTTTCCGTCCACCCTTGAACGGGGGTGACGCGCGCACCGCGGGGGTGGCGAGGAAGCGATCGCGACGTCGAAGCGAGATGGACAAGGAGAGGCGGAGATCGCGACAAGTTACGAGTGACGCGGGACAAGGAAGAAAGGAAGAACGAGCGGTCGCGCTAACACTTGTCGGGGAACGGAACCTGTCGGGCTCTCTTGAATTCGTGCTGCCGCCATTGTCCCACGACGACGGCGCCCGATCAAGACGGATGCGCGAATGTCGCGACGGCCACGAGGACGAGAACGGGCACGGCGAGCGCCTCTTCGCGCAGGACAATATAGCCGAGGCTCCGCCAGCAGTAACGCGACACAAGGGTGCGTTGTCCGCTACCGGCTCCGTTTCCTATAAACGACGACGGCGACGGCGATGAAACTCGCCCTCGAATCGGCGAGTCTCTAACGTTCGCGCTTAAAGTCTACGACGACACACATTTAGTTTATTACTCGTATATTTAAGAAGTAATAATACGCAATTAGCGGCCTTAGTTAGAAGGGTGTTTCAACCTCGCTCACCTTTCTATTTTACATGCGCGACTCATAGTGTGGGTTCCTTGTGAATTGGCGCGTGTACGATATCCCCCGTATTGTGGCGCGTGCGAATCTCTGTGTGCGCGTGTGTATATGTGTGTCTGTGTGTGTGTTGTGTCTGCGTTGAGTCTGCCTGCCTGCCTGACTGCCTGCTTGTGAGTGGGTATGTGTACATTCCTGCGTGTGTAGATGAAGATGTGATTATTTCACGTTAATTCCATTTTTTACAAGTTACGCAAACAATTGCAAAAAACATACCCTGTTTCCTAGTATCACCGACACCACGGCTACCGGATTGCGTCGCGGCGCGCGCGTGACTTGACTCCAATTTAGTTCTACGTCTAATTGGGACTTGGTAACAACGCGGCGTAGCGGTGTCGTGAGGGTTGATAGGTTTTGGCTGTTCTTCGTGTGAGTGCGGTGGCTGGTGCTGGTGTGTCCGATGTTCGTTCACTTCTCTCAGAGAGAGCGTAGAGTTCTCGTTTTCCTTTATCGTGTCTTCTCTATCTATCTTTCTCCCTCCCCTTCTCTCTCTTTCTTTCTCTCTCTTTCTCCCTCGCGCGCGCACAAAGCAGCGACCGATTGGAACGGCGTCCGCGAACGACGACTCGCGACTCATTCCCCGCTACATTTTGGCAAGAAAGTCGCTGTGGTGAAAATTAGGAAATAGTAGCATGTAAACGCGGATCCGATCGCTTGTCGCACGTTCGCGGCGCGAGATGGAGCGTCCGTCGAGGGACGCTCGTGACGACGACAATAACAACAGCGACAGCGACAACGACGACGTCGCGCGTCGATCGATCGCGACTCCCCGCGATCTCTCCTTCGCGGCGACCTTATTCTCTCGGAGCGGAGACGCGCGGATCAACGCGGTGGGACGCGGTGTGAGGAGCAAGAGATACGCGCAACCGGGCTAGTAAATAACTATGTTCGATACGGAATATTACAGATATTACGTATTTGTTTATGCTACTTACACACTTTATCTGCAAGCGATCGCAAGGTCGGAGATTGATAGGACAGGTAGATCCGCGTTTGCTTTATCCTTCAGTCACGTCTGCCTTGTAATTGATTATTTCTCGCAGTTAGTGTCTTATTGTACATTATAAGAGATGCGTACTATTGCATATTTGTATTTGTTGCTCCTCACACACGCGCGCGCACGCACACTCGTCACCTCTCCGTGTGCGCGCCCCCAGCTCTGTGTCCGGTCGGGTTCACTCGCGGATGAAGGGGCCCGCGAGAATCCGTTTGCATCAACGACAAGTACAAGCACGCGCCAACCAGAACGTCGACTCTTCGTTTGGCAAATCGGTCGCGACACGAAGATCTGTTCGCCTGTGTTTCGTTACGATATTCACGCGGGCATCGTTCCCGGTGACGTCGCGCGATCACGATTACTCCGCGGATGCAAGTGAATTCGCGCGGTCGATCGGATTGGCGCGCCTGTCGACGGATTGGCGCGAAAGTCGCGAGCCCGACCGCGCGGCGGGCCTTTCTGACGCCTGCGGATTTCGCGAGCACGTGTCGCGCCTCCCAGAATTCGGAACATTAATCGCGAGCATCGAATTCGTCTCAGCATTACACATATTCACGTCATGTAAAAATAAATTCAAAGCTGATCCTCACAGATTACTATTATTATTATTTCTCCTTAGAGCTAAGAATATTTTTATTTTTTTTCTTCCCCCTCTCTTAAGTCTCATTTACTTCATAGTAAGATGCATACTACTTCGGTTGTAGCAAAAACTTTGTTTGGATAAAATAGTTGTATTTTTTTGGTTTGTTTACAATCGTCGTTACCTTCGTATTTATATATTTATATATGTATATATTTATATTTTTGTTTTTATATGTATCTATATCGTTATCCGTTACGGTATTTATTAGGGTAAGTGTTCCTTGATATTCGCTATTAGTACTGTTAGACTTTAAAAAGCTTAGATCGTAGTGATATTATCAATTGGTGCTTGCATAGAAGCATCTTTCCAGTATACATGTTTCTCTTTTTCTCTCTCTTTATCTGTGTGTCTGTGTATGTCGTTCGCGGTGACGCGCGTGTATGTTTGTCTCTCTGTTTGTGTGTGTGTGTGTGCGTTTACATGTGCACGTGAGAGGGAGAGTCGCGCGAGATGCGCGCACGGGTACATGTGTGTGTGTCTCTATACGTTTTTATGTTATTTACGATTTGGTACCACTTTTTCTCAGGTTCTACCTTCGTAGTCGCATCTCTTCCCTCTCTTTCTCTCCCTCCCTCCCTCCCTCTCTCTCTCTCTCTCTCTCTCTCTCTCTTTCTTTCTGCGATTTCTTTCAAGTGGACTTGGTCGAGTTGGTCGCTTGCGAGTAATCTCGTTCTTGTCTTCTGAAATTCGCGTATACCCCACGAGAGAGCGCGCGCGCGAATAATTCCGCACGGATGACTCGAATCAATTGCGATCCACGATCTCGCGCGGGACATTCGTATCGAGGGGCGTCCGACGGATGGATGGAACCGGATATCCTTCGGCGAATATCGAAAATCGATGCGCGACAAAGATGTGGCCCGGGTGCCGCTTGCCAGACGACGCGACAACAGGACGCGTCGCGCCGTGGCGGAGATTTTCTCACGACCCATCACATTCAATTTCCGCACGTTTCCCGTCGGACGCGAGACGACGATGTGATCGGAGAAAACGCGATCTAGTTGGAAGAAAGCGCATAGACGAGTCTGTCTCTCCGGCGGCGTTCGAGGGGCGAGAGACAAAGACAGAGGAAGAGAGACAGAGAAAGAGAGAAAGAGAGAGAGAGAGAGAGAGAGTCCGTCGTTACTTTCGCGTGATTACGATTTCTCGACAGTGAATCATCGTCCGTACAGGATGGAAAACTGCCCGATTCAATCTGCGAGCGGCGGCATCGACGGACCCGTGCCCGCGAACAAGGAGAATCGTAGACGAGCGCGTCTAATCCATTCTGATCCGGGCCGATCCACATTCATCTCGTAATCGTATTTGGCGCACGTGCATCGCACGGAGAAGACCGTGAGCCACGTTGCCCGTAGAACCCTGCCCACTCCCTCCCCCGACCGTGTCACGACCGTGAGATGCGAAATGTCCGTTCGCAGAGCCGATGCGCTGCTGATGATGATCCACTCTTCGAGTTATCCATCCTGCGAGCGATGCATCCTCTGCGAGCGTGTAAAGATAATTAAGCACGAACCGGCACGCACGCTCTGTCTAATCATGTTTACACGCACCGCTTCTATTCACCGCGAATCCACGGACGCTATTGTGTGTGTGTGTGTGTGTATGTGTGTGCTATCATATGTGTGTATGCGTGTGTATGTGGGTGTGTGCGCGCACATATGCGGCCTCCACGGAGAACGGCGATTGACCGTCAGGATCGGACTGGAGGAGCCGGAATCACGAGAACGGAACGGGTACGTTGCGCGATTTGCTACTTTGCCAGAACGACACGCATTATTATTATCACATTTTCATCCGGATTCTAACTAAAATTTCAGTCTCAGTAATTTTTGTTATCTCGAAATCAATTTAAATATGTTTTCCTTCCTTCCTTCCTTTTTTTCTTCTTTCCTTCTTCTCACTCTCCTCATCCTCCGATTTTCAAGTTCAACGTGTACGCGATGTACATTATAGAAATTGCATAGATTAACCTCAGCCTACGTGAAGGTATTTTATAACGGAATACTTTATATAACTCGAATATATATAATATAGGATAATTTGTCATTATATCTTATTACTTTAACTTTATTTTCCCTCTTTTTTCTCTCCTCTCTTTTCTCTCTTTTTCTTTCTCTCTCTCTCTCTCTCTTTTCTTGCGAACGTCATCGAGGATTTCGAAGGAAACTTCGTGTGAATAATGAGACCGTGTGGTTGCTCGCGCTTCCGCTTTGTATCCGCGCACAAGTCAGAGCGTACAACGTGGCAAAGATTTATCTACGATCTTGCTGATAATATCACGATGAACTTTCGCTCATCCTACAAATATCCGCGAGTCTCCCGTCGTTAAATCAACTACGTCGTTAGTACAGCTCCCCCCCTTCCCTCCCTCTCTTCCCCCCCCCCTCTCATATATATATATGTATATTATATAAATTTAACCTTCTAAAAATGACAAGAATATATGCGTATGTTTACATTATCGTAGTGTGTATAAGTTATGTATACGTAGTTATGTATATAAATAATCGTTATTGTTATTATCCCTTATATCTTTGTTATCTAATGTTATTTGGTTTTATCGTTATATATTAATATTATTACCGTCATTCGTCGCGGTAACTAGCAAATCCTTCTTCCAAGCGCTTCTTTCTTCGTCGTATAATTTGCCACGTACGTGTGCACGCGCGTACGCACGAATACGCACGCGCACGTGCGTGAGTCACGTACACCAGAGTGTTCGTTAATTGAGCACGTGGTATGCGCATGAAAACGTGCGTATCGCCCGTGGCACGTTCGAACGGGCAACAAATTTGCGGAGCGGATTGTAAAACGAGAAGGTTTGCTCATATCCAAAAACGTAGGTATAATATGTATATGTATATATATGTATATTTATGTATATATATGTATATATATATATATATATATATATATATATATATATATATATATACATATGCATATATAAATATATATGTGTGTATATAATGCGATATAAACGTAAAGTAGCCGTGGCGACGCGACGTGTCGCGTCGACCCAAGCAATCTCGCGACTAAACTCGTCCTCTCACTCCTCACCCTCATTCTCTCGTCGTTTTTCTCACCGTATAAATGTGCCTTCGCGTAATAATTTATCTGATGTTGATTTAGCTAAAACTAGAATAATTTACTAAGTCTCTAGTTCCTTTCAATCGCGATATACATATATACGCACGCACACACGTCACGCACGTAAGTATATGTGTGTGTGTGTGTGTGCGCGTCAGTATGTGTGTATGCGTATATATATACGCATAAATATATATATATATATCATATATTTCATATTTATAATATTTATATTTATATATATATATTTATATATATATACTTCCTCTTCAATAATTTATATTTATATATTTATATATATATATGTATATATATGTATATATATATATTAATTGATGGTACTTTGGTTGATTATTTCCACTAGATTAGAGTTCGCCTCCTCGCTTCATGGCTCGCCTATCCTCTATCACCTACCCTCTATGCGTATCTTATATATTCTGCTTCATCCCCTATCCC